TTTATGCGACATTCGTAGTGATAAGTTAATGTCGTTTACGTAATATATTCGATAAATATAGCTAATCTTTCTTAGAAATGATTTTTTGTTCAAATCAGAATTTTTTTCTAAGATTAGAACAGTATCTGAGAAACATAAAGTTAGTTATCGGCTTAAGTTATGATTTTGTAATGAATAAGATCATACATTTAAAAACTGAAATAATAATTGAAAATATTATTAAAGTGAAAAATGGATTAAGTATTAAAAATGGTCATTAATTATTAAATTTTTAAATTTATAATAAAGGCGTATGGAAAATGGAAAATTTCATTCGATGCATTAGTTAGTAACGTAACTTCATTGTGCTTAATAGATTGATTTAATTTGTCAAAAAAAAGGAAAATATGTTTCATATTAAATGGAACATTCATACACGATTTTTTCTTTTATTCATCCATATATAGATCCATATGAGGCGTATCTTTTTCACTATAAACCGATATAATTGGCTTTCTCTAAGGCGTCAACAAATGCGGCTCTTAATTAGATTGTTCGTTGCGCTCTAAAACTCTTACCATTAATACCGAAATGGTCAATTGGAAATTTCGCAGCATTGACATAGATAATCGAAGCTGAAATAATTTTTTTCTTTCATTGCGTTACGCATCTACTAATATTAATTTTTAACCTTACCTCATTTATACTTTAAATTGATAATGGATTGTCAAAATTTTGCTAACCTAATTTTCAATTAAATACTGCGAAATTTTTCATTCTCTTAAAGTTTATTAAAGATGTATATATTATTACTTTTTCAATATTGCTAATCTTATTACAAAAAGTGATAAAAATAGAATAGGTAAGATTTCTAATTAAATTAACAATTGTTATTTAAGCTCAATACAATTGTGGCAGACCATTTTAAGTATGAAATTCTTCTAACTATATTAAATATTAATTAGTTATTTTCGATTAAAACAAATTAATTTAGACGATAGTTTTGATAAAGCCAGTAAATCAATTAAATTTTGCATCAAAGCTATCAAATCAATTGATATGACCATTTAAATATTTATATAGTTAATTTAATGCTATAATTTATTTAACATATTTATGTTTATTTAATTTGGAATAATATAAAAATAGATGACTACTTCGAATTAGCCTATCTATTAGTTAAAATAATTAAACAATTAAATAATGCTTTTTAATCTTATTAAAAAAACTGTTTGTCCAGTTTGTTATATTTGTTCGTTAGTTTTATGTTGCTTTATCATTATACTTTCATTAAATTTCCCGTCAATTTTCCGAGATTCTTCTGCTAATTATGAATCCTGGCTGTATGAGCTTTATCGGACCATTTTTCTGATTTTGAAAGTTATATCATAATTATTAAATAAAGTCATATAATAATTTTTTCGAACATACTGACATTTCGAAAATTGAATAAAGAAAATACTATGATTTCCCATCTCACTATTATAATACAATTACTTAGGCTTTCGAGTGTCTCACAACCGTCACCCCTCGCTTGGATCACCAAATTGGCCTTTAATAATAACACATCACTTATCCTATCTTATGGTCTTCAATAATTGGAGGTAATCGTATATAATAGCTAAATTATACTAAATAAATGAATTAATCGATTTAAATAACAAAATCATTTAAATTAATTATATTGTCATTGTTATTAGTATTATTTACAATTGTTGCTATGAATTATTATTACTGCAATTTCTAACCGTATAATTTCATGTTAGTGTTATTACTATCAATTTTTATTTTTTGTTTTTTGATAATTTGGTATTAGCGCAAATCGTGCTTAGCTTTTTTTTTTTTTTTTTTTTTTTTTTTTTTTTTGGATGGCTTACGACGCCTTAATAATTGTATTTTTAAAGGACCTAGTCAACCGAAACATTTATCAATTTACTAACAATATTTTATAGGACATAACTACATATTGAAATAACGCAAAGAAAATTTTTTCTATGATTGCAATATTTGGGTCTGTATTCTTAAAGTTAATCTGAGTGGATCATAAAATAAATATTAGCAAGTAATAAAGTGCAATCTCCTTTAGATTTCAACGTTCAGCAAGACTTTAACGATTCAAATCCTATAAAAGGAGACTACTGTAAGCATTATTTAATTCGATAAGAACACCGTTTATTAAATACCACCAGCAATTCAAAACATTATTTCACTGAACCAAGATAATTTTTCTCCTTTTTTAATATAATAATTTGCGCGGTTGCATGGCTTTCGTGCTTATAAAGTAAAAATACACGATTTAACAATTTCTAACAAACATATCTATACTAACAAGCTTTAATGATACTTTTAATATTGATATATATATATATATATATTATAATTGTAAATTAAGAAGGAAATTAATAGCAAAATATATTCATAAATAATATAAATATTAGTCATTGAAACGGGATTCATTGAATATATTTCCAAGCATGCTTATATAGTATCTAATTTTCTTACTTTTCTTGTTTGTACGTCATTATTGAAGCGATTGTAAGGATTTAAAACTATTTAAATATGCTGTTGGTAGAATTTTTTCAACTTTTGGAAATGTCCAATGACCGCTTTCAATATTCATTGTCACATTTAATGGACGTGAATTACATTCTAACCTTGGAGCCCCATGTGCCAACCATATTTTACTTCTTAATGTTTTCTCTAAGACCTGGGCGTTCGGGTCTTTGTTATGAAAGACGAATTTTCAAATCAATAACGTATACTTTGATACACTCAACTGCATATAGCTTTTGCATATTGTTATTTTCGAAATGTCGTTTATGTAAAAGTTTTAAAAGGATTAGACATGTATAATAGAATTAGGACTTTCATAGACTTATTAATTACTATGAAATAATATATGTAAGTAGTCTAAAAATATATTAATAATAATTATAAAAATATAAAACGTTTATTATATTTATCGTTGAATGATTTAGCAATTTTGTTTCACAAATAACATATATTAGTCGGTTGATAATTTCTCTCTCACCTTTTACATTTTTATTATAATTTCGGACTTTATATTATAATTGTTTTATAATGATAGTTTCTTTTTTTTCCAGTAACAACGGTTACAACTTCTATTAGAAATTCATTAATTTACCATATTAAATAATATCAAGCCGATTAATAGAGTAAATTACAATAAATTCAAGCTCGAAGAAAGGCAAAAAAATTTTTTTTCCTACTACGCCACTGAGATCTTATGTTACGATGACTGAGAGTTAGTTATCTTCATGGAAGCTTTTCCCTCAGTCTTCGATCTTCTCTTGTACTGCGCAGACTGCCAGTATTAAATTAAATTTAAATCATATACATTCATTCACGACACTCGAGTGAAGAAACGTTCTTTCAAATTTTTTGTTAATAGTGCTACGTACATAGTCTTTGGTCTCACCGTCTGTTGGAACTCTGGCATTAATTGTTTTTTATCAGGTACATCATAATTATAAGCAATTGAGTAACGTGAGTAAAGTTGAGGATATTTAGATGGTCGTTTCTATTCTATATATATATATTTTAATTTTCTTTATTCAATAAACTTTGTAGAAAATATTTTATAAAGCATGATTTTTATTAATAATTTGTTTAAAATTAGATTAAATACCGTAGTCATGCAAGCATTGACACTCTCTAAGAAATACGTAAAAGGAGAAAATATCAATATTTAAATATAATCAACTAAATTGGACTAAGCAATGTAAAAATAATTAATTAGAGTTCTTTTAGAATTACCAAAAGATACGTGTTTAATTTCAAATTCTAAGAGAATTAATCGGTAAAAAATATTTAATTTTTTTTTTTTTTTTTTTTTTTTTTTTTTTTATGATTTGTCAGTTAATTCATTATGTCATCATAGTCCATTCATCTTACATTTATGAAAATACAAGAAATGATAGAGAGCATTTATATTTTATGCATTTATGATACATGTAATTAATTACCGTTAATGAATATTATCTTCTTATGTATAAATTTTTAATGATATTATTTAATGATATTATATGAAAATATTTATTTTAGCATTTAGTAAATTACTTAAAAAGAAAAAAAAAATTGCTTAAAATCATAATTGTAATCGTCTGAAATATTTGTTCTGAAGTATTATCAATTAAATTCAAAACTCCAGATTAACGTTACAAATATAAATTTAATAAAGAATATTCACCTACATCGAATTATTATTATTTTATAACAATGTGCATTAAATAATATTCTGTCATACAAAAATTTAATAATATTACCGGCCAGGTAATAGTTTCTATAATGAAAAGTAGATGAACCTGTTTTAAAAAATTTAATACCATGCCAAAACAGAGATATTATATATATTTTGATGTTTTTGTAAAGTGAACTACGAGCAAAATGATGTAATAATACTCCATTTACGTTGTTTAGTTATTTAAATGTTTTCAAATGGTACATAATAAAATACTTATTGTTATAAGTTAAAAGAAGCAATTGCTTAGGACAATGGCTAATTTTTAAATTGAATGCTTAAATACTTGAAAATAAGTATTGTGGGGATATTAGTGGATTTTATTATGAACTCGTATGAATGTGTCTGTTCGTGCTAACGGCGAGAGTATATTCGGTGACGACTAAGGAACAACGTATATTTTTCTACAACGAATATTATGCAATTCGATTGATATATTAAAATGTGGCAAGCGATCGATAGGAGCAATTTCGTATCAAGTACGTTTTGTCTTTCCTTTTTTTTTTTTTTTTTTTTTTTTTTTTTTTTTTTTCCCCAAGTCCTCGTCAAATAAGCGAATTTCATAAATAATGCTTGGCAATGATAATAAATTGTCGCAGCTACATTATCGGGAGTAGAGGGAGTCAGTGTGTGAAAGCCGGCCGAGAAAAAAGTATTCCCAACAGCCTCTGACTCCCCGGGTCTGGCGATCGACCAGCAATAGTATGGGGACACATGCGTAAACCGACTCCCCATGGTAATCGTGTTCCCCTTGTTGAAGGTTGAAGAGATGCTGTCGCGACTGGTGATCGTGTTGTGCTTGTCGCTGATGGTCCGGAGCCAGCCGACGATGGATCTCACCAATGGAAACAACTCAATGGAGTGCTGCAGCAACGAGACGGAGATGACGTCGCTGCCCTGCCCCGCTTCCCCCTGTCCCATCACCCCATGCCACCCGTACATGACGGTGCCCTCGGTCGTCCTTCTCCAGGGGGGGAGCTTCCAGTGCTCGACGGGCTTGGCCTATCCGAGGCTCGCCCGTGACGACTACAGGTATAGTCCGGGCATCGGGGCCCACAAGTTGCACATGCGCGCAACCACGTGGAACAATGCGCGGAAGATGTGCAACGACGAGGGCGGACATCTCGCCATCGTCAACTCCATGACCGAGGCTCACGTATGTTTAACTCTCGTTTAACTCTCCCTCTCGCTCGCTCACTATATTATCACCAGGCCACTCGCACCACATATTTATTTAAGTGCGATAGATAATTAGTTTCGCGCCTCTACTCCCCGAGCCATGTATTTCAATTATTAATGCGGGTGGCCAGCGCTTTTCGTGACAGGCTTTGACGTCTGGATGACAAGAAGCCGTTAATCGTTAATCGATAGGAACTCAGGTATGAAGAACATTTTATAATCGTCCCTTTAAAAGTATGTGACAATTTTACAAAGTACATTATTCTTAGAAATCCCCTTGCAATTGTCTTATAATTTTGTCATCCCAACTAATTATTGTACGTACAATGCAAACGGTGCTTATATATATATATATATATATATATATATATATATATATATATATATATTCAATGAATGGAGCATTGAATTCCCTATTAGAATATTAGAATATGAAAAATCAAAGTCACGGTGAAAAATGAAGTTGGCAAATAAATACCAACTCCACCTGAAATCCAAGTAAATATTCGAACGACAGCCGGGCGAGAGCAATTTCCTAGGCCCCCGCGCTCGACCCGACATACGTTATTTATCGCGAATACACGACAACGGCGTGGGGATTCGAGCGACTCGCTCGTTAACCAAGTCCGATGTCATATTCAAGACTAACGAATGAAGTTGTCTGGTGCCCCGTCCACCATGTATTCATGAGTTAATCAAGTGGCTTGTAAATAACTTTCGAAATAATTGTCGCAGATATTGACAGAAATGTTCTCGAAGGCGGGAGTGGCGAAAGGTGCGCCTTATACGGACGTCGCCTTCCTCGGCTTCCACGACTTGTACATGCAAGGCGAATGGGTGACGATACTCGGCGACTCACTTTTCAAGACGGGCTACACTACCTGGTCGGATAAGTACGGCGGTCAGCCGGACAACGGCGGCCAGCCGGACAATGACAACGGCAATCAGCACTGCGGGGGTTTCTTCAGGGACGGCGGCCTCGACGACGTCAATTGCCAGATTCCCTTCGCCTTCTTCTGCGAGCTACCCATAACGTGCTTTATGCGTTGATGCGACCCACCATGAGCAGTGGGGTTGCACTTACTTATGCGCTCCTTGTACAATTGCTATTATCGACATGGAAACCACACACACACACACACACACACACACACACACACACCCTCC